GCTGTAATCTCAGCACGTTGGGAGGCCGAGGCAGGCAGATCATTTGAGGTCTGCAGTTCGAGACCAGCCTGGCCAACGTGATGAAACCCCATCTCTATTAAAAATACAAAAAATAGGCAGGCGTGGTGGTGTGTGCCTGTAATCCGAGATACTCAAGAGGCTGAGGCAGGAGAATCACTGAACCTGGGAGGTGGAGGTTGCAGTGAGCCAAAATTGGGCCAAAGCACTCCAGCCTAGAGTCCATCTAAACAAAAACAAAGTACACCAAACTAATGCTGATCTCATCTGGCAGAGCCTTCTGTCTGCTGTGCCTTCTGAGAGTGGAATACTGTACTCAATACAGTTTTGCTGCTTTGCTATATGTGTGTGTCTGTCCAGTTCTTTGCCGGGGACACCCAGAGCCTGGAATTGCACCATTGTACCATCTGGTAATGTAGGGTCCTGCCCTACAGGATCCTGTGAGCCCCTCTCTACAGGTGTGGAGACGAGGAACTGTGGAAATAAAAGATACAAGACACCAAGAAAGAGAAAACAGAGTTTGGGCCCAAGTGTCCACTGCCAAACAAAGTGTGGAGTCCGGCAGTGGCCCTGAGTGCCTGAACACTGACTTTTATTGAGTACAAAGCAGGGGGCAGGGTGGGTAGGGTGAGGTAATGGTGGTCAGTGATAGGGTCAGGTAAATCATGTGTCTTGGAGATAGGGGCCCAGGTCTTTCAAGCAGCTGAGGTGAGGAGAAAACCTAATGCGTCAGCACTTTTTCATACTTGTCAAGAAAGAAAAAAGACATTAAGATTTATGTTACTGCCAGGCGCGGTGGCTCACGCCTGTAATCCCAGCACCTTGGGAGGCCGAGGCGGGCGGATCACGAGGTCAAGAGATCGAGACGATCCTGGCCAACATGGTGAAACCCTGTCTCTACTAAAACTATAAAAAATTAGCCGGGTGGGGTGGCATGCGCCTGTGGTCCCAGCTACTCGGGAGGCTAAGGCGGAAGAATTGCTTGAACCCAGGAGGCGGAGGTTGCAGTGAGCTGAGATTGCGCCAGTGCACTCCAGCCTGGCAACAGAGCAAGACTCTGTCTTAAAAAAAAAATATATATATATATATATGTTACTATTACTGATTTTATCTTTTAAGAAAAGGAGGGACCAGGTTCAGAAGCAGAACACGAAAGTAGACATGGAATATGACCACTGAAGCACAGCATCACATAGAGACAATTAAGCCCCCCGGATGTCCGTGGGTTTTCCTGACAGCTGTCAGGCCTACCACAAGAGCTTGGAGAAGCGGAGTTTTCTCCTAACTCCCCCGAGGAAGGGGACGTCTCAGACGTCTTGGACATCTCCTTCCCTAGCTGGCTTAACAGTGGGCGCTTTCCCAGCGCTGGTGCTGCCCCACAGCCGAGGCGCCCTCTAGCAGCCTTTATGCAGGCGTGACAGAGGGCTTAGAGCATTTTGCCTTAGGATCACTTTGTTCACAATGTCACCTCAGTTCCATGCTCCATAACCCGATAATCAATAGTAAGATTAAAAGGTTACCTTGAGTATATATATTTCTGTGATTACATATGATTAACTGTGATTATTCATGATTACATGTAGGAATAACTATGTAACTATATCTCTAATTCTTTTCTAGTTCTGTATTCATATGGGAACAGGCTGAGACTTCAGACCCTTCCTTGGCACTTGTGGGGTCTCCCACAGGGTCTCCCACCCACAGGTAACACTTTCCCAATTCTCCCTTTGATCTGTGCATTTATGCGGCTTTTCCCTTTGTGGTCTGTCCATCTTCTCTGGCATCTCTCTCTCTTTTTGGCCCATTGTGCAAGAAGGACCTCAGGGATCCAATTTCATTAGCTACTCCCTAAAGAGACAGCGCCTCTGTCTCTTTCTTCTGTGTGCAAACAAGTTCCTTGTTCTACATCTAGTATGGAGATGGTGGAGGCAGGGTTGGCAACAGTGGAGATAAGAGGGAAAAGGGGGATTTAGGCCCAGAGAAGGAAGGGTTTGTCAGGGATGGGGAGGGCTGGAGACCAGGGAATTGGAGGCAAGCCTAGACTCCCCTCTGGTGGCAAGGGGAGGATGTGCAGGTGCACCAGTGAGGACCAGGACACAGATGCGAGTTATTCTCTGCAGTATTTACCAAAACCCACAGACATATAGTTTTTGGGTTGTTTTTTGTTTTGTTTTTAGATGGAGTCTCCCTCTATAGTCCAGGCTAGAATCCAGGGTCACAATCGGCTCTCTGCAACCTCAACCTCCCCGATTCAAGTGATTCTCCTGCCTCAGTCTCCCAAGTAACTGGGATTACAGGCACGTGCCACTACCCCCGGCTAATTTTTTGTTTTCAGTAGAGATGGGGTTTCACCATGTTGGTCACGCTGGTCTCAACTCCTGACATCAAGGGACCCACCTGCCTCGTCCTCCTAATGTGCTGGGATTATAGGCATGAGCCAGCATGAGCCAGCACGCCCAGCCACAGACATATAGTTTTAAACAAGAGAGGGGACCTGCAGATGTGTATGGCAATGACTTAGACATTAGGCTTTGGGTCAGAGGCCATATAAGACAAGCGGAACACATGCCAGAGACAGTGATAGAAGGACTATGTTTGGTGAACCAGAACCTTCTTCCAGGCTGGGCAGGTTGGCTCACACCTGTAATCCCAGCACTTTGAGAGGCCGAAGCAAGAGAATCACTTGAGCCCAGGCAACATAGTAAGACCCCCATCTCTATAAAAAATAAACTAGCCAGGCATGATGGCTCATGCCTATAATCCCAGCACTTTGGGAGGCCAAGGCAGGCAGATCATCTGAGGCTGGGAATTCAAGACCAGCCTGACAAACATGGAGAAACCCTGTCTCTACTAAAAATACAAAATTAACCAGGTATTGTAGTGCATGCCTATTATCCCAGCCACTTGGGAGGCTGAGGCAGGAGAATCTCTTGAAACTGGGAGCTGGCTGGGCGTGGTGGCACGTGCCTGTAGTCCCAACTTCTCGGGAGGCTGAGGTGGGAGGATCGCTTGAGCCCAGGAGTTCTGGGCTGTAGTGCGCTATGTCAATTGGGCGTCCGCACTAAGTTCGGCATCAATATGGTGATCTCCCGGGAGTGGGGGACCACCAGGTTGCCTAAGGAGGGGTGAACTGGCCCAGGTCAGAAATGGAGCAGGTCAAAACTCCCGTGCTGATCAGTAGTGGAATCGCGGCTGTGAACAGCCACTGCACTCCAGCCTGGGCAACATAGCGAGACCCCATCTCTAAAAAAAAAAAGAAAAAGAAAAGAAACTGGGAGATGGAGGTTGTAGTGAGCGGAGATCACGCCATTGCACTCCAGCCTGGGCAAGAAGAGCGAAACTCCATCTCAAAAAAAAAAGAAAAAAGAAGGGGCCGGGCGCAGTGGCTCACTTTGGGAGGCCAAGGCAGGTGGATCACGAGGTCAAGAGATTGAGACCATCCTGGTCAACATGGTGAAACCCCGTCTCTACTAAAAATACAAAAAATTAGCTGGGCATAGTGGTGCGTGCCTGTAATCCCAGCTACTCAGGAGGCTGAGGCAGGAGAATTGCCTGAACCCAGGAGGCGGAGGTTGTGGTGAGCCGAGATTGCGCCATTGCACTCCAGCCTGGATAACAAGAGCGAAACTCTGTCTCAAAAAAAAAAAAAAAAGAACCACGTATCCCTTTTGCATTGGTCGATTGGAAATCAATCTATTATTCAATGCAGGAGCTGCCTCAGAATGCCACGTAGAGGTAAAGTCCACTTCTGCAGCGAGACTGCCTGAGTTGGAATCTGCTCTGCCAGTTACTTTTTTTGTGAGACAGAGTTTGGCTCTCGTTACCCAGGCTGGAGTGCAATGGCGCGATCTCGGCTCACCGCAACCTCTGCCTCCTGGGTTCAAGCAATTCTCTTGCCTCAGCCTCCCGAGTAGTTGGGACTACAGGCGTGCGCCACCATGCCCAGCTGATTTTTGTATTTTTAGTAGAGATGGGGTTTCACCTTGTTGACCAGGATGGTCTCGATCTCTTGACCTCATGATCCACCCGCCTCGGCCTCCCAAAGTGCTGAGATCATAGGTGTGAGCCACCGCGCCCGGCCTGCCAGTTACTTTTTGCCAATAACTTTCAGGGTCTTGATCTGTTGCCCATGCTGGAGTGCAGTGGTGCAATCACGGTTCACTGTAGTCTCCAACTCCTAAGCTCAAGTGATTCTCCTGCCTCAGCCTCCCAAATAGTTGGGGTTGCAGGCGGGGTCCACCAAGCCCAACTAATTTTTTTTTTAGAGATGGGATCTCACTATGTTGCCCAGGCTTGTCTCAAACTCCTGATCTCAAGCAATCGTCCTTCTGCAGCCTCCCAAAGCTTTGGGATTACGGGTATGAGCCACCTTGCCCAGCCACCAATTACTATTTATGTCATCTCTGATGACTTAAGGTGAAGTCACTTAACCACTCAGCACTTCAGTTTTTTCTTATTTGTGAAAAGGGATAATAGACCAGGTGTGGTGGCTCGATGCGGACGGATCACCTGAGGTCAGGAGTTCAAGACCAGCCTGGCCAACGTGGCAAAACCCTGTCTCCACTAAAAAACAACAACAACAACAACAACAAAAACCTGAGGCAGGAGAATCGCTTGAACCCAGGAGGCGGATGCCTGGGAAATAACCTCCAGCCTGGCCATGCCAGACAGCATCCACCCAGGCCTGCTCATTATCCACAACGAGGCGGACTTGCTCCTTTCCTTCATCTGCTCCACCTGAGTGCTCCTGGGGGTCTGAAGGCCTTTGTGGATGCCTGTGAGTCCCAAGAGCCAGACTCAGTCAGAAAAAAGGAAAGAAAGAAAAAGAAAAAAAAGGAAGGAAGGAAGATAGATTCTTCTGAGAACAACAAAAAAAGAAAGAGGCAGGCAATTGGCTAGTGTGCCCCTTGCTGAAGTTGGCAATTACCATGTTTGCACAATTATTACTGTCAATACTTCACATTTACACTAGGGCACTATGATTTTCAATGCAGTTTCCATTTTTATTTTGGGCCCCTCGGACGAACCCTTTCCCATTTTACTGAGGCCCAGGGAGGATGCACAGGAGCTGAGCCCGTCCTTTGATCTTAGTTTGGTTGCAGAGACAGGCAACGTCTCTGACGCCGTGATGGCAGTGTCAAGTGCACTCTGTCCTCACTAGAAACCTGGCCTCTTGGAAGGGCTGAAAGCTTCCACCCTTGACTGCTCTGACTGGCCGATGCGTGCTCTGTCTTCAGCAGCTCCTCGCTGAAGGGCTTCCCTGTCAAGAAACCAGTCTCTCTCGGGGCTGATCAGTGCAGAGAGGGCTCCTCGTCTCCGACCACTGGCTCCTGCTGGCTGTTCCCTTCACCCTCAGTCTCGGGCTGCGAGCCTTCCCTGAGCACTCGAAAGGGGGGCCCGTGACCAGGTACGACCACGTCGGCAGCGACCAGGACCCTCTTCCGGGTCCGCTCCTGGGCTGCGGGGTCTTCACTCAGCGCCTGCCACGAATCCTCGTCCCCATCTCGCTCAAACACATCGCCCGCCACCACTACGGTGCCCAGAGCCGTGCCAGCCACCACAACGCTCACATCGCGCTGGCCCCCGTGGCCCGGCGTGGCCCACACCTCGAGCCCCGGGCCCAGGCTCAAGGGCCGCCCCTCACCCAGCCCATGGGGCAGGTAGCGGCCTCCGGGGAGACAGAAGTCGTGCGAGACCAGCAGAGCAGCGCCTGGGAACAGCCCCAAATTCCCGATGTGATCCGAGTGCCCGTGGGTCCCCACCACCAGCGTCACGTCTCCAGGGGCCACGCCCTGCCCCGCCAGCGCCCCCAGTAGCGCCTCCCGAGCCCAGGGGCCCCCGGTGTCCACCAGGATGGGGCCACGGGCCGCCTCCTCCAGGGCGGCCTCCGCGCCGCCCACCCCGCGCGGGGACTCTCCGTGGCTGGATGCCGGACCCCAGGTCTGGGGCAGGACAAGGGTCACGGAGCCGTTGGCGCGCACGGCGTCGTCCACTCCCTCAGGCTCCGCGTAGCCCTGCAGCAGAACCACCACGGAGTAGGGGTCGCCGGGCACCAGCAGAGGGGACGCCCCGCGCAGCGGCTCGGTCCGCATGAAGCTGCTCCCGGCAGGGAGAGACGGGCTGAGGAGAAAGGAAATGGAGCAGTGGGCGACCGTGCTGTCCCTCTACTGTCCTCCATCCGCGCCCGGCCCCACCACTACCACTAAGCCTTGGTTCTCTGCCACCCGCCTTCCATTAAGTTGGTATCACCCTCGACCCCTGCCCAAGATGGTATCGCCCAGCCTCCCGTTCCCACGTGGGCCCGCCCCTCCCTTGGCGCCTTCGGCCCCCCGCCCCGTCCCTTTCGCGGTGGGTCCTCTCCCGTCACCCTCCAAAGGCTATCCTTTGTATTTCCCTTACTCGAACCCTAGCCGCGCTCTACGTTGGGTCTCTGCTAGTCTTGCCTCGCTCGAGGAAAGCACAGAAATCGAAAACGCGCATGGGAGTTTGTCTTCTGTGAGCTTCCGTGCGCCCAGCTATGGCGGCCGAAATGGCGCCGCGGCGTTGGCTGTAGTTCCGGCGCCTTCTTCACTGTGTGCCAGAGAAGGCTGCCTGGACTCCAGCCCGCTGGCGGTTTCCCGCCCCGCGACCCCAGCAGCTTCCTTGGGCTCACAATTATGAAGCGCCATTAGCTCTGTGGTAGAGTCTCGCTCTGTTGCCCAGGCTGGAGTACAGTGGCACAATCGGAACTCACTGCAGCTTCGACTTCGTGGGCTCATGTGATCCTCCCGCCTCAGCCTCATAAGTAGCTGGGACCACAAGCGCACACCACCAAGCCCAGCTAAGCTTTATATTTCTTCTTTCTTTTTCTTTCCTTCCTTCCTTTTTCTTTCTTCTCTTTCTCGCTCTCTCTCTCTCTCTTTTTTTTTTTTTGTAGAGACTGTTGCCGGGACTGGTCTGAAACTCCTGGGTTCCAACGATTCCCCAGCCTTGGTCTCCCAAAGTGCTGGGATTGTATGTGTGAGCCACTCCGTCTGGCATTTTTTTTCTTTTGAGACCAAGTCTTGCCCTGCCCCCCAGGCTGGAGTGCAGGGGCGCCATCATTGCTTGCCCCAGCCTCGAACCCCTGAGTTCAAACAATCCTCCCACTTCGGCTTCCCGAAGTACTGGTAATACAGACATGCATGCCCTTCTAGTTTTGTTTTGTTTTTGTTTTTTTGAGACAAGAGTCTTGCTCTTGTCACCTAGGCTGTAGTACAATGGCTCGATCTCGGCTCATGGAAACCTCCACCTCCCAGGTTCAAGTGATTCTCCTGCCTCAACCTCCCAAGTAGCTGGGATTACAGGCGCATGCACCACCACGCCCGGCTAACTTTTTATATTTTTAGTAGAGAAGGGTTTCATGGTGGTCAGCTCGTCTTGAACTCCCAACCTCAGGTGATTTGCTCCTTAGGCCTCCCAAAGGGCTGGGATTACAGGCAGGAGCCACCGCGCCTGCAGCTTTTTGGGGGGTGTGTGTGTGTACATATTTATAGAGATGGGGTTTCACTATGTTGCCCAGGCTGGAGCTTGAGCTTAACAAGATACTGGCCATTCTGGGTGCTGCCTCATCAACCAGCTAGCTATAACGTGTGCCCTGCTGTTGTTTGAAACTTTGGGTCCAGGTAGTTTTTAGAAAAAAAAAATTTAATAGCAATATACAAAATTTAGCACCTATGAAACTATGTGGTAGGCTCTCAGTGACACTGATCTGAAGTAGACCAAGTATCTACCCCACCTAACTTATCAGCAACTCCAGGCCATCACCCAGTGTCCCATTTCTCCTTCACGGTTTGCTGGTGTGTAGCCTCCTGGATGCAGGCAATATATATAGATTGTAGAGAATGTCCGTTCTGGCCTCTTCCTTGGAAGGGTCTAAAAACAGACCTTATGGAGCTAAGTGACTTTCCCAAAGCCCACAGCTCCAGTGCTACTGGTGACCTCTGGGTTGGAGTGGGGAGCAGTTAAAGGGAAAAGCTTTCAGTACTGTCAGCACACACACCTGCCAATTAAGGGGCTGGATGGAGTTCATCTGCAAGTGCAGGACCTCCACCCCCACCCTCCATCCCAGCAAGCCATGCCATGCTGCTTCACCAGGATCTTGCCTGAGGTTAGATGGGAGAGAACAGCTACAAGCTTGGGTGGAGTCACTCACAAACATACCCTGAAAGCTGTGAGCTGGGAGAGCACAGACTTCAGAGGGCTCTCCATGATCCCGTCCCCTTTTGGGGGCAAGGGTCAAAGTTCTTCTTGGTCACGTTTGGGGTGGCCTCCTGTCTTGGTCATCTTGTCTCTCCCTTCCTCTTCCTCCTCCTCTTCCTCTTCCTCTTCTTCCCCTTCTGTTTTCTCTTCCCCATCTGTGATCTCCTTTCCAGTCCACGTTTCCTGTAGACATGCTAGATTGGATGAGGAAAAGCAATTTAAGTATTAGTCCTGGAGGCAGGGGAGGCTGTGGCTTGGCAGGAGAGGAGCTCAACCCCCACACTTACCAGTTTCAGCAGCTGGTAGCACATGACCTTCACAGAGAAAATTTTGTAGGGGCTGCTCCTGATGGTGGAAGTACCAGTCTCCCACAACGTCTTCAAACTCCTCCAGCATGGTCTCACACTGGGCAAGTAGAAGGGCCAGAAGAGAATCTGCTCTGGACAGATTTGGAATCCCTCCTGTCTGCTCTCCATTCCCTGTTCTAGCTGCTCAACCTGACTGATTTTGGAGAGGCAGGTAGTCAGGACGCTAAGCTTGGCCAACTGGATGTGTGATCCTCATTCATTCAAGAAACATTTAGCGGCACCTACTCTGCCAAATAGGTTATTCAACTCTTGAGTTTCAGTTCCTTGCCTGTAATATATGTATGGTAATTGCACCTACCGCCTCAGGTTGTTGTGAGGGTAAAATGAGGCAGCAGATGCAAAGCATGTGGTCCAGAGTCTGGGACACAGTAAGTGCTCAGTAAGTGATTGTGGATACTATTAGCAACCATGATGACTTCTAAAATTTTCCTTAAATTTTAAAATTGTTATTTTTTATAGAGAAGGGTCTCTTTTGTTGCACAGGCTGGTCTTGAACTCTAACCTCAAGCAGTCCTTCTACCTCAGACTCACAAAGTGCTAGCATCACAGCCGTGACATCACATCTGGCTCATTATGATTTCTTTGTTCGCCCAGGCTGGAGTGCAGTGATGCAATCTTGGCTAACTGCAACCTCCACTTCCTGGGTTCAAGCAATTCTGCCTCAGCCTCCCTAGTAGCTGGGATTACAGGCACGCACCAGCATGCCTGGCTAATTTTTGTATTTTTTGTAGATACGGCGTTTCACCATGTTGGCCAGGGTGGTCTCAACTTTCTGACCTCAGGTGATTCACTCGCCTCAGCCTCCCAAATTGCTGGGATTACAGGTGTGAGCCACCATGTCCGGCCGCTCCTGGAACCACTCTAATCAATGGCACAGTCCTCACTCTCCCCGCTTCCCCCTCCTCAGAGGTAGACATCCCCTACAGTCAAACCCTAACCTAGCTCCCCTCTCAGGTTCCCTTCTCATCTCCCTGGATGGTGCAGTATCTTATCCTACCTGCTTCTTGAGGTATGTGACTTCCACACTGGGCTCATCCCACAGCTCCAAAGGGATCCCCAGATCCACCTTCACCCCCTTCTGCACTAGGCCTTTCAGCGTTGCCATGGTCTGACTCTGACCCTGAGAAATTAAGAATTTGGTATCAGCCCAGCCCACCACCTCAACCCTCCCTTCCCCTTTCTGCCATTTCAGTTTCATCAGCTGCTGGAGATTGAGGGGTGAGTTCCATGATGGTGAGATGATGGGCAGGTAACCTCTGGAGGACCTCAGGGAATACAGATATTTGTTTCTGAGAAGTGGGAGTCCTGCCCTGGGAAGGATCTGACCTTGGCATATCTCAGTGAGCCCTTGCGCTCAGCGTGAACACTGTAGTCCAGGATCCGCTCACATAAATTCTCCAAGGCCTCTTCTAACCTTGTCTCTCTGTGGAAAGAGGGCAAACAAAGATTCCTTGGATGCTTTAGGAACTCCCAGCGCTCCTTTGGCGGTTGGAAGGTGGAGGAGCATGGAGGACTCACGACACGCTGTAAGGCACATGTTTCTTCCTCTTGCCTGTGTCCAGCACCTGCCCCAGCTCCAGCACCTCTCGAGATTGGCCAGTTCGACTCAGCTCCGCCTGTAGCTCTGTGCTCAGCAGCTTACACACTGGCAGGGAGGAGAAACATCCGGGGGAGGTGAAAGACAGACAAACACATCAGCCATTCATTCGGCAGATGACCTGAGGCAGCAGAACATTCAAGTGCATACTTGAGCCAAACTGGCTGGGTTGGAATCCTGGCTCAGCCATTTAGCAGCTGTGTGACAATCTTGCTACTTGCTGTGCCTCTATTTCTTCATCTCTAAAATGGGATAATAGGCCAGGCATGGTGGCTCATGCCTGTAATCCCAGCGCTTTGGGAGGCTGAAGTGGGTGGATCACTTGAGGAGTTCAAGACCAGCCTGGCCAACATGGTGAAACCCCATCTCTATTAAAAATATAAAAACTAGCCAGGTGTGGTAGTACACACCTGTAATCCCAGCTACTCCGGAGACTGAGGCAGGAGAATCACTTGAACCCAGCAGGCGGAGGTTGCAATGAGCTGAGATCCTGCCACTGCACTCCAGCCTGGACAATAGAGGGAGACTCTGTCTCAAAAAAAGTAAAATATGTTAAAAATAAATAAAATGGGATAAGAATCATCTGTCCCTCATAGGGGTGTGATGAGTATTAAATCAACATATACAGGCCGGGCGCAGTGGCTCACACCTGTCATCCCAGCACTCTGGGAGGCTAAGGTGGTCGGATCACAAGGTCAGAAGTTCGAGACCTACCTGGGCAACATGGTGAAACCCCATCTCTACTAAAAATATACAAATTAGCCAAGTGTGATGGCAGGCGCCTGTAATCCCAGCTACTTGGGAGGCTGAGGCAGGAGACACAGGAGGTTGCAATGAGCTGAGATTTTTGCCACAGCATTCCAGCCTGGGTAACAGCGTAAGGCTCTTGTCTCAAGAATAAAATGCTGGGCACAGCAGCTTACACCTGTCATCCCAGCACTTTGGGAGGCCAAGGTGGCTGGATCACAAAGTCAGGGGTTCAAGACCAGCCTGGCCAAGATGGTAAAACTCCCTCTCTACTAAAAATACAAAAGAAATTAGTTGGCATGGTGGCAGATGCCTGCAATCTCAGTTACTCAGGAGGCTGAGGTTGTAGTGAGCCAAGATGGCACCACTGCATTCCAGCCTGGGTGACAGAGTGAGACTCTATCTAAAAAAAAAAAATTACACACACAGACACACACATATACGTATATATAAATAAAATGGGATAATAGTCTGTCCCTCATAGGAGTGTGATGAGGATTAAAGAAACCAACATATATAAAGGCTGGCACATAGTGAGCACTGTATATGTATTCACTGTTATCCTGCAGTTATTGAGCTCCTTCTGCATTCACACTAACAATACAGACAGCATTAAGACCTATTATATCTATCTACGGGTCTCCGTCAGTGTAGTTGGGACAGAAAAACCTAGGATGACAAGATATGGTGAAGCTGGTCCTGAACTCATGGGCTCAAGTATTCCTCCTACTTTGGCCTTCCAAAGAGCTGGGATTACAGATGTGAGCTACTGTGTGCAGCCCCTTTGGCTGTATTCTGATCAAAGGCCTGCAGAGGTTTTAAAGCAAGGACTGATACAATTAGGTGATTAAGTCTGTGTTTAAAAAGGCTGACAGGTCAGGGGAGAAGAGTGGGACACGGAGGTGAAAAGAGACAGAGATGAGGACTACGTCATGAGAGTATCATGACCACCTTTCCTGACTTTACGTTTCTTCCCTCAAGAATCCAGGGAAGAAACGTGAAGTCAGGAGGGCAGCAAACTAGGGGATCAGGGCCAGCTCTGAAGTGCCCCCTTTCTCAACTGGGCCCCACACTAGTGCAGCTACGGAAAGTGCTGCTTGCTGAAAAATCCACATAGTACACACCGTCTGCAAAGTCTCACCCGGATGGGGAACCTCCCCTAGTCGTGTGGCCTCCTGTTGTTTTTGAGCTTGAAGGGCAGAATTACTCACCCTCAAACCCCGTCAGGGGTCGTGGGGCCTGTAATTTGGGAGCGTCTATGCTAGGGTGGGGCAGCAGATGTCCACAAGGCCTGAGCCTCACAGAGCTCCTGCAGCCTCTGCAGATTAAGGTCTGGTGACGGGAAACACGCACTGAAGATGCTCTAAAGTTGGCAGTCCAGGGCCAATGGTCCCTGAACTACAATTCCCACAATCCATTGGGGGGGGGGCGGGGGGGTCCAAGTCAACCAAAAAAATGCAGGCTCTCTTTGAATGCCTCCTGGGAAGTGCAGTGCCATAGCTTTGGGGCGGCACTACACGTTTGCTTCCTTGACCCCATCCATTCAAATTCAGCCAAGCTCCACCAGAACCTCCCTCAAGCTTTCAAGGAGTTCAGGTGACCCACCCAATACAGTCCAAGAGGTCCGGCCTAGAAGAAGGAGGTGTGGCCGGGCGATGCCAACAGGGGCTACCCCCTTCAGATACCTTCGCATTTGCTGGGCAAACGTTCTGTGTCATCGTCCTCTTCCTTCGGCTTCCCAGCCCAAGCCCCGTGCACGGCCAAAAGGAAAAGCAATATTCCCAACCACATAGGTCCCATGACAAAGCGCCATCCACAAACAACCATCGCTTGCTTTCAAACCAACTTCGGGAAGGCAGTGGGTCCTTTAAATGCCCAGGCGGCTGGCGGCAACCTTAAATCCAGCCTGGCAAGGTCGGCGCACGAGCAGAATCAGCTCGGTAGGGGGCGGGGCCTCATTGCTCTGAGTTTCTCCGCCTCCGTTTTGTGGCGCCTCTTCAAGGTCCTGGCAGCCGGGTAGTGAAGGAATAATTTGCAGTAATTCAACCAAGACGGAATTCTTCTTATATGTAGATGTTTAAACAAAATTTTAAAATATAATTTCATTCCGTGAGTCCAGAGAACGTATTCTGGCACGGGGAAGCGGTAGCGATTTGGACTTCCGCTCTGCCAGGACCTGCTCCTAGGAGGGGGCGGGGCCAAGATGGCGCCCAGCGCCGGGTGAGCGGCGTCTTGGCGGCGGCCAGAGTTTTCCTGCTCCCAGCGTTCGGCTGGCGGGGGCGGGTCTGAGTGGTACTCTGGAGGAGACCCTTTGAAGGTCCCTTGTGGGGACTAGAAACAAGACGGTTGGTTGTGTGTCCGTGCTCGTGGGGACCCCGTGTGTGTGTCTGCATTGGAGAGATGTTGCAGGAGATGAGGTGGGCTCTCTGAGCCTCCTTTCGCGCTCCCCGGGGATTTTCGACCTGCTTCTCTGCTGGGATCCCGCTCAAGTTAATCCTCCCCTGGGACGCCTTCCTGCCGCCTCCACTGATCTGAGGAGATCCTGTGACTGTAGCGTGTTTTATGAGCCTTTACTGACAGAGGGTACCGCCGGGTATTGAAGGATTCGTAAGAGTTCGCCAGGGAAGTGGGACACGACCGCCTCTTATAAACGCGGCGCCAGGCACAGAGTATGTCTCGAATAATTGTGTTCCCTATAGATAAGACTTTAAAAAGTTGGGGAGGAGACCAGGGATGGTTTGAAAAGAACCAGTTTCTTCTTCGGCCTCCCTCTTCCCATCCTTCCAGCACAGCCCCACCCTACCACCTGTACTATTCCTGAACAGTATTGATGTTAATCTTCCTAATGTCCAGCTCCAGTGTGCCACTTGACTTTTTTTTTTTTTTCCTTGAGACAGGGTTTCTGTCTGTTGCCCACGCTGCTATGGAACTCCTAGGCTCAAGTGATCCTCCCACCTCAGCCTCTTAAGTAGCTGGGATGACAGGTCCACCATGCCAGGCTAATTTTTCAATTTTTTGCAGAGATGGGGGTCTCACTATGTTAAGCAAGCTGTTTCAAACTCCCATCCTCAAGTGATCCACCTTCCTCTGTCTCCCAAAGTGCTGGGATTACTGGAGTGAGCTACCTTGCTTGGCTCCATTTTGTTGTTTTTTTAAGACTGGAGTCTCCCTCAGGCGCCCAGGCTGGAGTGCAGTGACATGATCTCGGTTCACTGTAACCTCTACCTCCTGGGTTCAAATGGTTCTCCCACCTCAGCCTCCCAAGTAGCTGGGACTACAGGTGGCCACCCCCATGTTCTGCTAATTTTTGTGATTTTACAAAAAAATGGGATCTTGCCACGTTGACCAGGGTGGTCTTGAACTCCTGACCTCTGGTGATCTTCCCACCTCGGCCTCCCAAATTGCAGGCGTGAGCCACTGCACCTGGTCTACTTTGCTTTTAACTGCAGTGTAGGCTCGAAGTTTGGACCTGTGACATATTTTCTTAATAACAGCAATAACTAGTAGTTACCGAGTACCAACATCTCTAAACCTTACAACTAATTCATCTACTTAACAAATATTTATGATGTCCCAGGCTGGGATCCTGGAATACATTAGTGAACATAATAAAGTGCCCTGTCAGCTGGGCATGATGGCTCACGCCTGTAATCCCAGCACTTTGGGAGGCCGAGGCAGGCGGATCACCAGAGGTCAGGAGTTCGAGACCAGCCTGAGGAACATGGCGAAACCCCATCTATACTAAAAATACAAAAATTAGGCCGAGCACGGTGGCTCATGCCTGTAATCCCAGCTACTCGGGAGGCTGAGGCAGGAGAATCACTTGAACCCACGAGGCAGAGGTTGCAGTGAGCCGAGATTGCGCCACTGCACTCCAACCTGGCGCCTGGCGACAGAGCAAGACTCTGTCTCAAAAAAAAAAGAAAATAGGAAAATTAGCCTGCTGTGCTGGCACATGCCTGTAATACCAGCCACTTGGGAGGCTGAGGCAGGAGAATCGCTTGAACCCGGAAGGCAGAGGTTGCAGTGAGCCAAGATCGCACCACTGCACTCCAGCCTAGGCAACAGGAGTGAATTCCATCTCAAAAAAATAAAAAGCAAATAAAGAGCCCTGTCTATATGGTGTGTGGTGGGGGTAATAAACAATAAGAAACGATACAACGAATTAGAAGGTTTTTTTGTTTTTTTGAGATGGAGTCTCACTTTGTTGCCAGGCTGGAGTACAGTGGCTCACTGCAACCTCTGCCTCCTGGGTTCAAGTGATTCTCCTGCCTCAGCCTCCCAAGTAGCTGGGACTATAGGCACATGCCACCACGCCCAGCTAATTTTCATATTTTTAGTAGAGACAGGGTTTCACCATGTTGGCCAGGATGGTGTCAATCTCTTGACCTTGTGATCTACCCGCCTTGGCCTTTCAAAGTGCTGGGATTACAGGCGTGAGCCATTGCACCCAACCCAGATGTTAAATGCTATAGAAAAGAAAAAAGTGGCATTCATTCAAAAAAAGAAAAGAAAAAGTGGGCTGCTCCCACTCTGAGGGCAGAGTGCAGAGTTAAATAGGGTGGTCAGGGCAGACAGGCAATCAGGCATTCTGGAAGAACATTCCAGGCAGAGGGAATGGAGTAAAGGCTATTAGACAAGAGTATGCCTGGCAAGTTGAAGGGGCAGCCTGAAGGAATATGTGTCTGGATCAAAGTGGAAGCAGGAAGGAAAGGCAGTCAGAGATGTAATGGGAGAAGGCAAATTTTGAAGGGCTTTGTAGGACATTAAAAGGATTTTATCTTCTTTTTCTTTTTTCTTTTTTTTTTTTTTGAGAAGGAGTCTTGCTCTGTCACCCAGGCTGGAGTACAGTGACATGATCTTTGCTCACTGCAACCTCTGCCTCTCGGGTTCAAGTGATTCTCCTGCCTCAACCTCCCTAGTAGCTGCAATTATAGGCGTCCGCCACCATACCCATCTAATTTTTGTATTTTTAGTAGCGATAGGTTTTACCATGTTGGCCAGGCTGGTCTTGAACTCCTAGCCTCCCAAAGTGCTAGGATTACAGGCATGAGCCACTGTGCCCAGCCTCAGATGGGGTTTATTATGTTGACCACGCTGGTCAGGAATTCCTAAGCCCAAGCAGTTTTACCAGCTCAGCCTCCCAAAGTGCAGAGATTACAGGCATGAGCTGAGCCACCACACCTGGCCATTATAAAGATTTCAGGTTTTACTCTGTGGCAAGTGGAGAGCCATTATAAGGGTTTGAGCAAAGAAATGACAATATGCTTTACAGTTTGACATTAGCATTTTGGCTGCAAAGTTAGGAACAGATGTAGAGAGAGACAAGGGTAGAGATCAGTGGACCTTGTCTGGAGGCTTTTAGAGTTACCAGGGGATAGATGATGGTGACCTGGGCCAAGCAGCGAGAACAGGACAGTCAGGTTGGACTACTGGGTGGATTTTTTTTTTTTTAATCTTATTATATATTTTTTGAGATGAAGTGTCTCTGTCGCCGAGGCTGTAATACAATGGCACAATCTCAACTCACCACAGCCTCCACCCCGCAAGGTCAAGTGATTCTCCTGCCTCAGCCTTCTGAGTAGCTGGGATTACAGGCACGCACCACCATACCCGGCTGAGTTTTCTGTTTTTAGTAGAGACAGGATTTCTCCATGTTGGCCAGGCTGTTCTCGAACTCCTGACCTCAAGTGATCTGCCCACCTCAGCCTCCCAAAGTTCTGGCATTACAGGCCTGAGCCACCACCTGGTGGATCTGATGTGAAGGCTTAGATAAAGAACAAGTGCCTGGACGGATGGCAGTGCTGTGCAGATAAGGAAAGCTGAGGCTGGGCCAGGCACTTCAGCTCATGCCTCTAATTCCAACACTTTGAGAAGCAAAAGCTGGAGGCTCCCTTGAGCCCAAGACATCAAAGTGCTGGGATTGAAGCCTTGAGGTATAACAGAAAAAGAAATATGGGCTGGGCCTGGTGACTCAGGCCTTTAATCCCAGCACTTTGGAAGGCCAAAGCAGGAGGATTGCATGAGGCCAGCAGTTCAAGACCAGCCTGGGCAACATAGTGAGACTCTGTACCCCCCCAACAAAAAAAATTAGCTGTGCTGATAGTACACATCTATAGTCCCAGCTACTTGGGAAGCTGAGGTGTGAGCACTGCTTGATCCTGGGAGCTTCTGAGCCCTATCAGTCCTCCCACCTCTGCCTCCTGAGTAACTAAAACTATAGCTTTAAGCCTGCATGCCCAGCTAATTTTGTACTTTTTGTAGAGATGGGATCTCACTATATTGCCCAGGCTGGTTGCGAACTGCTGGGCTCAAGCGATCCTCCTACCTCAGGCTCCCAAAGTGTTAGAATTGCAGGCATGAGCCACTAGGCCCAGCCCAGAGGTTTTTTTTTTTGAGGTGGAGTCTCTCTGTCACCCTGGCTGGAGTGCAGTGGTGCAGTCTTGGCTCACTGCAACCTCTGCCCTCTGGGTTCAAGTGATTCTCCTGCCTCAGCCTCCCTTGTAGCTGGGATTACAGGTGTGCACTACCATGCCTGGCTAATTTTTGTAGTTTTAGTAGAGATGGGGTTTCGCCATGTTGACCAGGCTGGTCTTGAATTTCTGACCTCAAATGATCCGCCTTCCCTGGCATCCCAAAGTGCTGGTGGGATTATAGACATGAGCCACCACATCTGGCCCCAGCCCAGATTTTCTTCTCTGTAATACCTCAGGGCTGACTCATGTGGGGATGGATGGAAGACACCCTGAGTTACTCCCTCTCTCCACTGTCTTCCATTTTTGGCCCTCTCCTCATGCCTCACATTTCTTTTTCTTCTGCCTGCCCCATCCCTTTGCCAGGGTCTCCGTCTCTCCACCAGGAACTTCATCCTGCTGGGGAGGAAAAGGCTCCAGAAT